CAATTTGCTCTTGAAGGTGTTCAATGTAGGTGCTTGAACCACCTCCGATGGCAGGCTGTTCCAGACCTTGGGGGTTCAGACAGTAAAGAAATTCTTCCTTATGTCCAGCCTGAAATGGTCTTGCAGTAGTTTATAACCGTTGGACCTCATCATCCCTTGGGGCGCTCTGGTGAACAAACGTTCCCCCAGATACTGGTGGTCACCCCTGATAAACTTGTAGGTGGCCATCAGATCACCCCTGAGCCTGTGCTTTTCCAGGCTAAAGAGCCCCATGGCTCTCAGCATGTCCTTGTAAGGTCTGTTTTCCTGACCTCTGATCATGCGCGTGGCTCTTCTCTGGACTCTCTCAAGCTTCTCCACATCTTTTTTGAATTGTGGAGCCCATAACATATCTTAATTCATTAGGTTAATACAGTGCATAGGTCTGATCTAGTCCTGTACTTATGGATTTGCTTTGTTTTTTTTTTATTTTAGGTAAATGCCTGCTGTAAAAAGCAGGCAACTGGACTTACACATTTACAAGTTGGAGAGGAAGAAGTGTTGATGGTGGACCAAACAGGTTTGAAAGATGTGAATGTGTACGTCTAATTGGAAACTGTTCTGTGATGAAGCAGATTTGTGAAGTTGTACTGGGAATTCCCTCTTCTGGGATCCAGTGCGACTGAAGTGCAGTTTTATTAAATGCACATGTTACTGTCTGTCCAAATTGGGTTTTTTGTATAGTTTATGAATATTTTATTGTAGGTGCAGAGTAATAAGTAAATATATTTGGCTTTGCAAAACATGGACTCCTGTGATCCTTACTAGGAAAGGATAAAACCATTCCATTTGCAGTACACTGTTCATAACATTGCTTGAAAAGGAAAATGCTCTTACAAGGCTTGTTTTAGAAGCTGATGGAGAAGATTTGATGAATACATGCAGGGAACCTACACATCCTAACCCTTACAGCAGCTGCTTTTGATGATCTCTTTTAGTGGACCAGCTTAAGCTGGGAGAGATGCCACTCTTAGACACTGCTTTGCTCACCTGCAACAAGGATCCAATAAAAGATACTGCCCAAAACCCACTGAAATCCACCGTGCTTCTTACATATTTTCAAGATAGTGACAGCTCCCCCACCTCACTGAAGTGCTTTTAACTTCAGCATGCCTTTCATCTAGTATTGCAACCTACTTCTCACTGCAGCTGAATACAGAACAATAGACCTGTCCTCTTAATTTCTTACTAACCAATAGCCTGCAAACGTGAGCTTTCCCCACCTCTAAGTATTTTCAATCTGGAAGAGGAAACTGCCTTGGGGGTTCTTTCCCCGGGTCCCTACCTGCGTCCACCTTCACGCCCCGCTGGGAGCCGGGCTGGCAGCGCGCTGTCCTGGGGAAGCAGGTTTCTACTGACAGCGGTGCGGCTCGGGCTCGGGCTGGTGCGGTGCGGTGCGGTGCGGTGGGGTGCTGAGGGGCGCCGCCTTTCGCCCCCCCCCCCCCCGGCTGGTGTGGGGAGGGTGGCTTGTTGGGGACCTTTAAAGCAGCCGGAGGCTGACGCAGCCCCGCCCCTTGTCCGCGGTCACGTGGTGCCGGCGGGGTGTGCGCGGGCTCGCGGCGGCCATGACGCAGGCGGAGAAGGGTGAGGTGGAGAACGGGCGGGATCGGGAGCGCGACAAGGAGCGCGAACAGCGCGGGGCGAAACGGCCCATCGTGCCCGCCGCAGTTCCCGAGTCCCTGCAGGAGGTGAGGCCGGGCCTGGTGCTGGCGGCCGCGGGGCGCCCGGGG